AAAAAAATCAATAAAAACAAATTTAAAAAAAATGTAGGTGGACATTTGGCCAATTCCATCTCTTAACTGTGTCGAGCAGGTTTTCCTAGCCACCCCTGTCCTGCAGCTGGGTACCTATCTTGGTGACCCGCAGACCACTGCACCCCATGGGCGGCCCTGACAGCAAACTCAACCTAAGTGCTCCAGACAGAAGAGCCCCAGAGCGAGAATTTCACTGTATAATTGAATGACCTGCATTTAAAAACCTGTTAGGTTCATTAATCAAAACACCGGAACCACAGATTTTTATTGATATTTTAAGTACTTCAATGAGTCATTTATAACTACAAGTGTGCCTGGCAGGTTTGGCAGCCCATGGATGGCCACATAGATGCTGTGAGAGGGGATCAGGGCTCCTGGAGGGAAGCTGGTGGGCGACCTACTGTGCTGACAGTACACGGGTGGCCCCATGACACCCATGAGCTTTCCCTGGCACACACAGCCACGTGGGGAGGGAAGGGGCTGTAATCTCACATGTGGTGACTTCAGGATGCCACCTGGGGGGCAGAGAGACAGGTGAGCCAATGTTTGTGATGGCAGTCGGTGCTCCTCATTCTCACCGCCTCCACGCTCCTCTCAGGCTTAGGAGGCCGCCACTCCTGCGACGGGTGAGCAGAGGCTCAGAGCGTGAAGTGCCTCGCTGAGGGCAGACCTGCCTGGCGTGTCCAGGCACCTACACAACCAGTCCCGACTCAGCCATGCTGCACCGCAGGCAAACCGCCCGGCTTCAAACATGTGACAGAATGATTTACTAAAAACCCCAACAATACCTTATCTTTGACGATGCTCTCTTGACACGCAGTACATTTTGGGCTTGGGGAGCTGAGGGGGAACACAGACACGTTAGAGTGGAGTCCCGTCTGGACCCAGCGAGACCCTCTGGCTCGATGCTCCAGGGCCGTGGGGAGCTGGCGGCCACCAGAGCTTTGGGATGCGGGCCAGTCTGGTTGAAATGTGCAGCCACAGGAAAAGAGGGCAAACTGTGCTGGATGGTGATTTTTCACAAGGAAGTTGAGCAGAACAGCTAAGGTCAGTCCCACTGGAAAGCCCCTTGCAGTGAAAAGTGAAATTTTATTTCAAAACCAAAACCAGCCATGTGTGGGGGCTCCTCAGCGGAAGCGTCCCGGGTCCCAGCAGCCAGCGTTTTCTCCAGGCGCTGGTCCCCACCGAGCAGTGCCAGCAGTGCTACTGCACACACCCCAACGGCAGGAGCTTAAAGGAACGGGGCTCCTGTGTCCTGGCCCTAAACCCAGGACAGGAGCCAAAGCTACCTTTTCTGGGCTTACTGCACCTGGAAACCACCTCCCAGAGAGTGAAAAGGAAACTAAGTCTGGGCGTTCCCTGCTTCCAGTGTAGGCGAGGCTTCAGGTGGTGGCGCAGAGGGGCCCCTGTGTTGGCCTGAGGGCAGAGGGGGCAGGAGAGCCGAGGGCTTGTGGGGGAGGAAAGGACTGCGTTGTAAAATATAAGCTCATTCATTCAGATGACCCAAATTAACATGGAGCCTAAGCTTTTTTTTTTTTTCTTTCAATCCTCACCTGAGGATATATTTCCCACTGCATTTCAGAGAGAGTGGAAGGGGGAGAGAGAAACATCGAGGGGAGAGAGCTGCCTAACGGTGAGGCCCTGGGACAGAGATGCCCCCTCGAGGTGAGGCCCGGGGGACTGAGAGGAGACACCCCCTCCCGGTGAGGCCGGGGCCCCACCTCAGCACGGCAGCCATGCAGCTGTCACAGAAGCGGTGTCCACATTCAGTCTGCTTCGGGTTGCACAGCACCAGGCGGCACTTCTCGCACTTGTACTTGTCCTCCACGGCCTTCACGAACCTCTCCTTGTACCCTCCTTGCTCCGGGACGAGCACCGGCGCCCCAGTGCTGCGGTCAGGGTGCAGCTTGAGTGGCGGGTTGGTCTGCAGCGAGCTGGAGGGGTCCATCTTTTTACTTGGCTCCATCGTAAGAAAGAGATTCTGCTGGAAAAACAACAGTAAATAAGTGAAGTGCTCTCCCATGTCCCGAGAGGGGACAAATGCGGCCCGGGAGCAGCCCAGTGCCCTGACAAGCCTCCCTTCAGTGTAAGCGAGACTTTGGGCCCACGGTGGGAGCAGGAGGGAGCATGTGCTCCTACTTCCCGCTCTGCCCAAGCACTATGGCTCACGCCACTACTCCAAACACCGATGGTGGCAACTGTATTTTTAAGGTTCTTTAAACTACAAATAACACTTTGCCAGGCTGTAGCTTCCAGTTCTATGCCTCAATTGATGTTTCAGCTGAAGCAGCAGCCATGCTCCACCAGTTTTACTCCCTAGTGAGCCTTGCTGCCCGAGGCCATCTGAATGGCACTGCAGTCAAGCCTGTGGTCGGAGCAGGTGTCTCTCATTCTGACAATAGCACTTACTGTCCGCTGTCGTCCACAGACTCCTGCTGCTACTGTGTTCACGGTGCGACCCCATGCGGGTGCGCCTGCCCACAGTGCCCCAGCCTGGGCGCAACAGGCCTGGCCCCCCTGCAGGTCCCCCTCACTTCACCAACCCTGCAATGACAGTCCCTGCACTGTGCCCACAGAGCTACTGGGTGGGCCCATCATGGATTTACAGGCACTTCTGCATTTGGGACAGAGCTGGCGGAGGGGGCACAGGACTGGATGGGTCTCCTGTGCCCATGCAACAGGCTCTCCTACTACAGCTGGTGACAACTGTGCAGAGGGCTGGTTCCCACCTGCAAGTTGCCACCATGGGCCAAAGTAAGTCGTTCCCAGACACAACACAAGGTACCAGCCTGAGCGGCCCACCAGCTGAGATGCCTGGTGCCCATCTGGTGAGCCTTCAGAGGAAGTTGCTTCCAAACTCACAGGGACTCTCGAAACTACACCATGTTCTTGTTCCATCCATCTACGGCTGCTGCTTATACATTCTTCCAGTTCAACAGGTCCCGGGGGTCCGCCCCATCCCCGCCTTCCTCACTGGAAGCCAGTGCTGGGTGTGGCGGTGTACCTGGGCTCTGCTGGAACCTGAGGTCTACCAAGCAAGGGTGCTCAGGCTGGGCCAGGCAAAAACCACTCTCGCCCAGCCTCAGTCCTCACGCTGCCTCTCTGAGGCTGACAGAACGAACGCTTCACGCCGTGGGATGTAAAGGAACTGGAGCCGGCCAGCTGCACAACATCTGACAGGTAAACAGGCTGTGTTCCAGCCGCACCTGGGTTAATTTTAGTAAAATAAAACACTACCATGCAAAGTGTGGAGCCTCCTGTCAAGTCTATTTGCGAAAGAAAAAAAAAAAGTTTTCAAAATGACCTCAAAGGCCAGCAAGACGTTGACCACAAACCCATTCCCTAAGATGCTAAGATGAAGATACCAGTGCTCATCTGCCTATCAGAGGAAAGGGGGGACCAGGAGCCTACCTGCCCTCCGCCCTCTCCATGCTGGGCACCTGCTCAGCAGATGCTCCAGGTGCTGCCCCTCCTGGGATGCCCCCCTGCCTTCCCAAGGAGCCCAGCCTGGCGAACCCCCCTTCCCGGATCCACTCTGCCCTGCCTGGGCTTTTCTGTGGCGCTCCCCACCGTCTAGGACCACAGGCTTAGCATTCATTGTCTCTGTCTCTCTCTGGTAGAACATAAGCTCCCTGACCACACAGGTTTTGATCTGTCTAGTTGACTGACAAACCCCAGGGCCCTAGGATAGTGCCTGATGAGTGGGAGGTACTCCATACACATCAACTAAGAGAAAGTGAGGCCTGAGCCACTCTACCAAACTCCATCTCTGTGATGCCTGACTCTTCAGGAAAAGAAAACTTCAGCTTTTGGATCTGATCTGATCTGACAGCTTCAGGCCTTGAAACCCTCCCTTAGATCGAAGCTACTCACCCCTTCAGTGTGGTATTTGTCCCACGGTGCTTAGCAGGCTGTGTGTTCAGTAGAAAGTTCTTAATTAGCAATGTTAGCTTCTTCAGGGGTGAATTCTCGTTTCAAGTATGAAAGACAACTAACTCACCCAGCTAATGACTAGTAAGTGTCCATTTCCCTGCAACCTGCCATGCTCTGTGTATGTAAGTAAAGAGCACAGCTTGGGAGCCTTTGTTTTACAAGCTCCTTAAGGTAAGAGAGCAGATGCAGAAGGCGCCTGGGCATCCAGATGGGACCTCCCGCTGCCCTGTCCTGAGGGGAGGACAGCCCGCAGCTGGGTGTGTCAGGACTCGCTGGCAGTGTGGGGCACCTACAAGGCATCTCTGCCCAGGGCCAAGGAGCCTCTCACAGCCCTTCCCAGTGTTCCTGCACCCCGCACCCTCTCCCCTTCACGGTCTATTCATGAGCTAAGCCTGCAAGGAAGGAGGGGAGGATACCCTAAGGGGTTGGGCAGCAGCAACAAGAAAACAGTAGCCTCCCCTACCTACAGTTCACAGTGAGGAAAAGAGCCACAAGAAAGTTGTCTACACATGAGATGCCCAGACAGGTGGGGCCGTGGAGACAGGAAGCAGGTTCCTGGTGGCCAGGGGCTGTGTGTGTGTGGAGGGTGTCTGCTGATGGGCATGGGGCTTCTTGTTGGGGTGTCTGTGTTCTGCAACTGGACAGTGGGATGGTTGCACAACTCTGCAAATCTACCAAAAACCACAGAAATGTGCTCCTTAAACTGGTTAATTTGTGATATTTATAAAGAGCATCACATACTTTAAAATGAAGACTCTAAAACTGAACCTGTATGTGCCTGACACATGAGGGGTATAAGACATTCGTTTATATCATCACAGTACCTGCGCTGGGACAAAAGGACAACAAACCACTAAGATGAGAGAGGTAAAGGGGGATCTGAGCTCCTTCCCTGAGGCCGAGCCCCGGGCACAGCATCTTCTTCCTACGTGAATAGCAGGCGCTGCCCCTAATCCCCAGAGCATCACCAGGCCTCCCTGAGCTGTCCTGTGCAGAGACCTCCTGCCAACTGCGGCACTGGACTCACACGAGCCATGTCCTCCGGCCACCAGGGGTCGGGCTGCTTCCTCATCTCCACGGCTCAGAGCCTTTCTTCAGAATGCCCCTTCTCAGCAATTAGGCAAGAAAAAGAAAGAAAAGGCACCCAGGTTGGAAAGGAAGAAGGAAAACGGTTTCTATTTCCAAGGACACAGCGTAGAGCATACTAAGGAATGAGCCGATCGCTAGCTGAACTGACAGACTTGCTCAGCAAAGGTGCAGGACACGAGATCAACATGTAAAAATCAACTGTATTTCTACACACAGTCTATGAACAGTCCAGAAATGGAATTAACAAAACAGTCTGCTTACAATAACAGCTTAGATAGTTTACTCTTCTCCATGTTATTTAATGTCCTCTGAAGACTGGAACTGTTTTCCTTCTTCCTTTCCAACCTGGGTGCCTTTTCTTTCTTTTTCTTGCCCAGCTGCTGAGAAGGGGCATTCTGAAGAAAGGCTCTCAGCGGTGAGATGAGCAGCAGCCCCGGTGGCCAGAGGACGTGGCTCGTGAGAGTCCAGCGCTACGGTTAGCAGGGGGTTCTGCACAGGGCAGCTCAGGGAGGCCTGACAGAGGTGTGTACCGGAAGTTACCAACCACGGCTGAAAGACAGTGCACGTGGACCGGGTGACAGGAACACAGCCAGGATGGACACTACGCAAACCATCCACAGATTCATCTCAACCTCTATTAAAAGCCTACTTCCTTTTTTTGCAGAAACTGGTAAGCTGAACCTAAAATTCCCATGGAAAATGAGAGGGACCCAGAATGGACAAAACAACCCTGAAAAAGAATGAAGTTGGAGGACTTGCACCTCCTGACTTCAAAACTTACTACAACTCAATCAGGACAGGGTGCTGCTGGCGTGAGGACAGACACACAGACCAAGGAACAGAACTCAGAGTCCAGAGATAAACCCTGACACCTGGGTTCACGTGGTTCCTGACAAGAGGGCCACGGCCACACAGTGAAAGGAGCAGTGTGCCCTCTGTGTTGGTGACCTCGCTGCCGCTCAGAACAAAGGCTCCACTCCTGGGCGTCTCATCACAGCTGTGAGGGCGAGGCTGGGGGTCACCACACAGCAGCTGCTCAGACACCTCCTCCTTCCCTCCCAGGTAATCAATGGGACACAGCTCTCGTACAGGAACACTGCTTCAGGGAGAACAGGGGAGTTCTAAGGCCTCCCTTTCAAAAAAATGTATTAGCTGACATATACAAGACTATGTGCAATATACATGCAAGGTAAGAGCACAATCAAGAAAATGAACCCAGAGCACACCCCCACGTAACAGTCACCATCTCCCTGTACGATCCTTCCTCAGCCACCCTCCTGCCCCTTTCCAGGACATGTCAGCCTAAACTCTGCATTTATAATTCTCTTGCTATCACATTTTTCTTAAACAATATACTTTTGCCCATTTTTAACTTATAAAAATGATATATACCATATGTAGTCCTCTGCCATCAGTATCATAAATAACCACCTGTCTGTGCTGCTTGTGTGCAGCAGACACCTTGTTCATTTTCCCTGACGTGTAATACTCCATGAGGTACTTACCCATTTTCTAATCACAGTTTCCAGTGTTTGCTACTATGAACAGTCTGCTATGAACGCCTGGCATGTCTGTTTTGGGGCCCTCATGCAGTTTTTCTCTACAATATATTCTCAAGATCAGGGGCGCAGGGTCTAGCAAACAGCCTGTGGGTCACATCTAGCCATCAGCCTATTTCTGTTAGGCCCTTGAGCTAAGACTACCTTTTAGATGTTTAAGGGGTATAACTAACAAACAAAGGAAACAACGACTACGTGACAAGGCTGTATGTGATCCGCGAGCCTAGAATATTGACCATCTTGCCCTTCCCAGGAAGTATCTGCCAGCCCCTGCCCTGGACTCGACATTGGAGTGCCGGGGAGCATGTGCATGGCTGATGAACCAGCTAGGGCCAAACTGCTTGCTCTCCAAAGCAAAGCAGCATCCTCACCAACCAACAGGTATGATGGACAGTCTCTTTTT